CTATAAAAACTCTACCTTATAATAATATTCAATTCCTATATCTAAAAGAAAAGGAGAGGAAGAATTAAAAGGTAAAAGCGAACTCTTTACCTATAAAAAGGTACTTATTAGAAGTTCCTAAAAGAGAGGAAAATTAAATAAGAAGAAGAGACTTAATATACTATTATTTCTATATCCTAGTAGAAATAGAAACTCTAAAAGAATTAGTAAAAGTTATAGTATTAGTTAACTTAGGCGTAGAGGCTAACTATATTAACTAATTCTAGGCTAAGGAATACTTACTAGAATCTATATTTATAAAAATAGCGGGTATAAAAGTAGTTAATAGTAGATAGGTAAAAATATTTAGAATCTATAAGCTAAATATAAAAGTATATAATAAGGTTAGGGAAGAATAAGATTTAACTTACAAATTTTAGGCTATTATTTTAGTAGACTATAATATTATTTTAAGATTCTTATAGCTTAGAAAAATAAACCCTAATATAAATTAAGAAAAGGGAGAATTTAGATTTAGAAAAAAGATAAAAGGATAAGTAGAATTAATAATAGCCTACAATACTATAAGTAAAGTTCTTATAGAAGCCCCTACTTTTATAATAATAGTAACTTTAATACTTCTAAAAGAATCTATAAAACTCTTAAATCTACTAGACTTTATACTACTATTGTTAGGAACCGACCCCTAATAGAACCGACCATGGGTCAAACCAAGGGTATGAGGTGTAGCAGCTACCGTAAGCTAACTAATCACTATACCTACCGAGGGTATAGGGTACACTACCCTAAGCAAATACTGGGTCCTATAGATACCCTAGGGGGATCTAGGGTTAAAAGGACTAATAGTTAGTCTTATTATAATAGGACCTCTATAGTATTCCCCTATCCGTTATTGAGGACTATTATAGTCTCTCCTAATAAGTAAGAGAGAACTAACTTCTAATACTACCTAGTACTAGAGGTCTAATATTCTAACTATTCCTAATAACTTGGGAGATATAACTATAATAAGGAGCTATATATATCTATAGAAGGGTAAGACATAACCTATAGGCGATATATAGGCTAAATCACACTTATTAGTAGACTAAATTACGAATATAACTATAGAGGAATAATAGGAACTACAAAGGTTATTTACTAATAAGATATAGGCGCGTAGCTGCTAGACTATACTAGAATAATATAATAAAGGGGCTCGACGCCCAGAGTATTAAAGGCTTCTACTAAGGGTAAAGATTCTAATATAGGACGACCTTACCCTAGGGGGATACTTTACCTAGTTCTACTAGCTAGAGGACACCCTATAAAATACCTTTCTAGAGATTCTAGACAAAGCAAAGGTAGTCTGGGCCAGATAAGGATAGAAGGCTAAATCAAACCTTATAATTGAATAGTATAACTAAGCGGAGGCTAGCTAGATAATACCCTAAATCTAGAAAGGATTTAAGAATAGTACTAAGACTAAATCGAATACCTTACTAACTAAGGTATTAATACTATCCTTAGGTTTAATAAAGTAAGATAGTAACTCTAGTAAGATATTAAGTCCTTCTTTAATTATATTAAGGGTCTGTATAATAATTACGGAGCGAATCTACTCGAGAAGTATCTAGTACCTTTAACTATTAGAAAGCTTCTTCCGGACCTATAATATAAAATTTAATAACTCTAAAGTAAGTCAGAATCTATAGAAGAGCTAAAAGCTAAAGCCTATAGACTAGAAGTAGTGCTCTAGAAGAAGGACCAAGATAAAAGGAATAGGGCTATAAGGGATATACCTAAGCTAATATACTAAGGGTCTTATAATAATAAGCGCTACTAAAACTAGGATAGAGACTTGGCGATAACATAACTAAATAAAAAATATAGGAGTATATTTAACTATATTACCCCTAAGGAAAAGGAATACTACTTTAAGGAGAAGCTCTACCTAGCCTATAGTAAGAAGGAGCACATAGTAAAGGATTGCCTAGATAAAGTAAGGCTCCTAAGGGAGAGGCTATAAGATTAGAAAAGGAATAATAATCCCAAGCTCCTTACTATACGAGTAGATCTACGCACTATAATAATAGGGGTCGCTTTACTACTGTAACTAGCTATACTAAAGCTCTAAGAAAAGGAGTAGATATAGGTTTAAGCTATTATTAATAGCGCGGCGGACTATAACTTTATTAATCTAATCTTAGCCTAATTATTTATCGAAGAGACTAAATAGACCCTAGATAGGAAAATAGACCTCGCAGATAGAAAAAAAATAGATACTTAGAGTATAACTTTAGTAAGTGTAGCCTTAAGAGACTACTATAGGGTTACCTATATATAGAAGGTAACCTTTATAATTATTCCTATAGTTAATATCGAAGTAATTCTAGGAAAGCTATAGCTAGAGGAGATAAACCCAAGGATTAACTAAAGGGAATACTAGTGGCACTACCTATACGCCGTAGAATAGGTGGTAACCCTAGAACCCGATAAGTGCGAAGTACTTATAATAGTCTAACTCCTTTTACTAATACTAGAGGAGAAGGTAGTTAGAAAAAACTAAATACTAAGAAAGTTTGAATCTTTTGCGAATATCTTCTTAGAGGAAGTAGCCTATATACTTACTAACCCCGGGCTAGTATCCCACGAGATTGAGCTAGTAAAAGGGAAGGTCCCTTCCTACTTACCCTTATATAACCTCTTAGCTAAGGAGTTATAGATACTAAGGGAGTACCTCGACACTATACTAAAGAG